TTTATTGAAATAGTAACTCTTATGACTATGAATTTTTGAGGAAAATTATCCTTTTTGACTATTTTAATAAAAATATTTAGCAAAACGAAGAAAAGTTTAACATTTTAACAGTCAGGAAAAACTTAAGCAATTTTGCTTAAATTTAAGCAAAGCGGCAACGCTGTTCATGAGTATTTCCCACCCATTATCGATAACGGCTCAGGACCATTCGATAGAGGCGCACAGTGAGGACAAATTGAATCATTCGATAGTTTCAATAGTGTCAAATCAAATATTCGATATATCGATAGCGCCATGAGTGGTTTTGCTGGCCTAGAAAAGCGAAGTGCGTGTAATTCCTACAATTAAATTCTAATTTGCTAGAGGAAAAATTGATTTCAAATGCTTAAAAAGCCTTCGATGCAGCAAATTACTAAGCATCTACAAATTTAATGGAGTCTAACTACGGGAACTTGCAGAATATGCGTAAGTTATTTCATAACGGGCTAAATTCGCTATTCCAATGCGCATAGTACGTAGTCCTACTTTCATCCATTTTATAAGCCATTATTGAGTAATAAAAACGTTTAATTACTACTTCCGCATTAATTTATTTGCTTTTTTCAAGTGAAAATTTATTTGTGTATGTGTATTGCAATTCATAAAATTTATTTCCTCCGCTTTGTATCATGTTTTATTCTTCGCTGTTCTTTCTGTTACTTCCGTTCAATTTGTTTCGATTTTCCGGCAATTTCATTTCGGATTTCTTTTGCCCATCTGCTGTTAGCGCTCCCTATATTTTGATAACTTTCGTAAACATTTCATTGTTTTCTCTTGCAGTACCCCTACTTGGTTCCATTGCCGGCAATGGCAATAGCGGTAATAACAATCAAAATTTCATCAATCAACTTGCTGCAGCAATATCTACAGCGGTTGGCGCCGTAAATGCCGCGACAACCACACCCTCTACAACGGCTGGCGGTGCTAACACATCCAGCAATTCAAATGAGCGTCAGCGCACTCCCGAGCCGCCACCAGCTCCACGATTCCGTTTGAAATCACCGACAAGAATAAAACCGAATCGGGGTACAGCGCCAATGGATATTGAAAATGAATCGGAGACTGAGCACGTCAACACTGTTACTAAACAAACTGCTAATACTTCTATGCCCCCGTTGACTGATGTAAATATGACTGCTGATAAATTGGCAATGGGAATGCCTAATATGTTTATGAATGGATTTATGCCCCCAAATATGGCACACGGCAGCGGCATCAATGCCACACCCTACATGTTTTATCAAACTTCCGCGCCAACAAATGCGGCTTCCACTTCAGCAGCAGCTGCGCTAGCCGCCAATCAAATGTTTATGGATCCGACGACGATGCTAGCAGCAATGCAGCAAATGCAACAAACTTATAATGCTAACTTTGGCGCAGCGTTACCAAATGCCGAAGGTGGTGTAAATGGGCAGTTACCAGCAGTTGGCGCCACAGGTGCTGGTAGGGCTTACCTGCTTATTATTTTTCTTGTATGGGGTTTTATATCATTTAAATTTAACGTATTATTTAACCGTTCTAGTTTCTGGCATGAAAGAAGTGATAAAAACTAAAAACTGCATACTCTTTCCACCCAACCCGAGTGCACCGCCTCCAACCACACGAGAGCGGCCGCCAGGTTGCCGTACAGTCTTTGTAGGCGGCCTACCGGAAAACTCCACTGAGGAGCTCATACGCGAAATATTCGAATCTTGTGGTGAAATAACCACACTGCGTGCATCCAAGAAAAACTTCTGTCACATACGTTATCGCCACGAGGCATCTGTTGATCGTGCCATCTACCTTTCTGGCTACCGCGTACGTATTTCTAACACAAGTGAACCCGCAAACTTTGGCCGCCTCCATGTTGATTATGCACAAGCGCGCGATGATCTTTATGATTTCGAATGTAAACAACGGCAATTGCAGCGTGAGCAACGCCATCGTGAACGTCTATCCACTGACCGCCTACGTTCTCAATCACCACCACCCATACCACATTATAATGACCACGAAGCATCGCTAGTCGCCGAGCATCTGCGTAGTGGTGACACTTTTGTAAAGGCCGTACAGACGATTGCCGTTTGGTTGGAGCGTGGTGATTGTAAAAAGCACAATGCAAATATGTTTTATTCAATGATACAAAGCACACACGCACATGTACGCCGTTTGCATACAGATAAACAGCAGTTAGAGGATGATTTACGCAAAGCTCGTGAGAGTTATCGCAAACAAATGCTGATCATGTCCGCACAATGTAAGTAATGTTTATTGTTGGTATATATTTTTGAGCTTTGATGTAGTTTTGAAAGATGTGTATGGTCTTGAAACGCGCTGTAGTTTTGTTTAGCGCCGCGCGTATTAGGGTTGTGCGCGTTGTTTTGCAAGGAAACAGTAAGTGCATTAGTTACAAATTTATGAAACTTGCGAAACTTCGACTGCATAGCATTATAGTGCTTAGTACTTAAACTAAACGGCTTTAAGCAGGGTTTGTGCCTTTAATAGGTTTTGCATCAACACGATTTCGTTACAACTCAGTATTTATCTTAAATTCCACCAAAAATAATGACATTGGTAAATATGTAAAAAAAATTGTAAAAGGTCGGTATAGTTGCAACAGGGCATAATTATTTTGAATTGGCTTTTATTCAAGTTTTTACGTATGTTTCTATATAAAATGAAAGAAAAACCTTTCAGCACAATGAAGCCTAAATAAATTAAATATATTCTATGTAAGGGCACCTTGGGCCTCAAGGGCTTATTTTTTGGCGCAATTTTGTTTTTGTTGTTTCACAAAAGTTTGCATTAAAAACGGCCTCTAGCTCAATAAAATCATCAAGTACTAATTGTTATTAGGCCAAGAAGATAACAAAAACAAAAGATAACTTATCAAAAATGCATAGTTTCATCTCTGACGGGGACAGATATTGCGAATAAGATATTTGAAGTTTTTCTTTATATTTGTAATGTGTAACTCATAAATTCTTAGCCGGAAACGCAATGCCTTTCTACTATTTCTCTCAAAATAATTTTGCCTTGCAATTTTGTAAGTCACTAGGCGACACAGCGCACTTACATATGTACGTATGTGAAAAAGTCAACTTTAATTTTGGGATCATAGTTTTCCAAAAAGGAAACAATAAAGCGCAAAAAGGTTTGTAAAAGTATTTGCGACAGGTAAATCAGAATTAAACTAAGGCTAAGCCAACAACAATTGCCACAAGTGCAAGGAAGTAAGGAACTTAAATAGAACGGATCAAAGTTTATTGGTAAACAAAAGCGAAAAGCAGTAAATAAAAAATAGCGAAAAAATATGTGCGTCTATATAGCTTTCTTATATGTACTCCGTCTTTATCATTTTAAGTTTTTTTTTTTTCAAAAATACATTTACCTATTCTCATAACACAAATTGCTTTAATTAAAAATCGCAGAAATCTATTTTTC